AATTAATGAACGGAAACTCTGTTGGATAGTGAAATGTGTCTGTTTGTTAGGTTTTTTTGTAGTTTTAGCTTTTAAAAATGCACTTGATGATTATTCATTCAATGTTGAATATTCAAATCCTTTGTAATTAAATCTTTTCTGCGTTATATGCTCCACGTGTATCCATCACATAAATTCCGCTGTTGTCCTGTTGATAGCTACCCGTATTGTCAATATGATATAAGCCACGTGTGTCCTTTACATATTGTCCAGCGCTATTAGCTACATATTGACCACTTTTGTCATGCACATACCGCCACTTGTAGTTATCTTGATATTGTCCCCGCTTATCGGACGGCCAATGTCCTTTGGAAATGTCATCACGATAAATGCCGCTTACATCATTTACATATTTGCCACTTTCGTCTCTATGATATTGATCGGCCACAGCAACATTTTGAACATTTGACTTAGCCACGTTCAATGCACTTTGCACTTTACTGCCAAAAATATTGCTTGTTGAATTGTTGGTGCTTTTGATTTTATCTATGTTAGCAGCATTGCTCTGAATTGTGCATAGCAAGACCACTAATGTAGGCAACAACCATTGTACCTGTAGATGTGCATGATATCAATCATTTTATATTTTATAATTGAACTCAAACCGAAACTTACCGATTTTGAATTGTACATTTGTGCGTGATTAAATTTTAATACCAACTGACAAATGAATAATAAAATAATTTGTTTAAATACTCAGCAAACATTTGGTCCATCAATTCTAAGATTGGAGGAAATTACAAGTTTTGGTGATCCTAACATATTTAATTGAAACTCACTACACTAATGTGGACGGTAGATTTATTACATTAGAAAAATAAAAAAAATTATTATAAGATGTGATTATTATATATATGGTATATCTGCACCTTAAGTATTTCATTAAGTAGAATTAAGGATCGTCATCTCTTTTGGTACCCATGAAGAAATATATAGTGAAAACACGTTTCAATTTGATAATGTCGATTTGCTTGTGTTGATATTAATAAACTAATCTCCAGTTTTTAAGCTCATCGTACGATTTTCTTATCGACCAGTGGAAATTAATTCTCTAAAATATTGACGAAAATTAGTTAATATACTTAAATATTGCTAAAAAAATTCAATAAGTATTTAATATTTCTTTATTGTTTGATTGTTTTGTAATAGAACTTTGCTTGTGTAGGGTATTAACGCTTCGGTTAAGTCACAATCAATTTCTTCTGCTTGTTTAGCTTTCTTTTCTTACTCTTGATGTATGTAACCAGTCTCCAGTTTATCGCCAATTATTTCATATGCAAAAATTAATTATAAACTTGAAGTCATGCTTTGTTTATAAACAAAAAATTAATTTAAGTGCAATAAAATTTTAGATTATTTCTTTTTCAATTAAAAAGAAACTTAATCAATTTAATTTACCTTCAACTTCGATTAACCTTAACAAAATAATTTATTTTGATAAAATTTTTAACAAAATAATTATAAATAAATTATTTAGTTACTCAATGTTGAATTATTGTTAAATCTATATGAATTGCTCTTACCAATGATCGGCAGATAACGTTGGTAAAAATATATAAAAATAAAATATTTTCTTTATCGAAAATTGCTGCGAGTAGGACTAGCTATATATTTCTTTAAAGTCTCTATATAACAGTTAATCCTTTAATTTTCTTATGCGATTGAGCAGTTGAATGTAATAAAATTATTAACATATGTATATAAAGTTTAAATAATTTGGTATTGAGAAAGAGACATTTGGAGTTTTATTAATCCAAGTTTTTTTACTACAAATATTTTGAAGTTTATCTTTAGATAATAAAGTTTATTAGCAGATAATAAATAATATACTTAGCTAGTGTTAGTTCATAGTAACCCCTTTATTTTTGCTATCGTTTCTAGGGATTAATTTCTATCGATCAAGACCATATTTACATATGTCCGTTTTTCGAATACAGTTTGATTTTGTTTTATTTTAACAGGTATTTGCAGGCAATGGAAAATCGGTCAGTTAAATAACTTAGCTCTTAAGACACTAAAATGCAAGCTTCTTTCTATAGCGAACTGGTACTACCTTTCAACTGCTAAAATTTTATTCAGAGATTGTTTAACATATTTCACGTGAGAAATGTATACGAAATTTGAATACTTTAAGAACTTTATTTTTTAAACTATTTCTTTTTAGAATTCTCTATTCGAATTTTAATTACTTGTGAAATGATTATAATATCATTTGAAGTCCGTTTTGTATGTGAATACCTAAGGCCATAAGTCGTAATATGTGATATTTTACAATCATTTTCAAACTTCAGCAATTTTACGCCGAAAATTATACTTTATTTTAGTTAATGATGTTCACAATAAGTTTCATTACCAAAACTCGGATCCGTTTGCTTGCTTTCCAGTTATAACTACGTCAGAATTTTTATAAGTTGTCTGAAACATCTATAAATAAAGCAAAAAATATAATGTTTTATTTATTTCATCATTTATTGTATATTTACAATAAATATAGTTTATATACTAACTACTTTATAATATAATTTTAATTGGAAGGTGTTATTTACACGGTACATTAAAGTCAGTAGTGTGAAAAAGGGAGAGTTATGGGCTATAAAGTAACTTGTGAAATATTTCGAATTATTTTACACTAGTTATAAATGATTCGCTCAATTAAATATTTCCATATAAATTTCAAAAGCAATCATAAATAAGTTTCTGTATACGCCATTGATAAAACTAATTACTAATTAAAATAATTATTGTGGTCATTAATGGAGTAGTGTATTTCTGAAGAAATAAAACTTACTTTCTCCTATTTGGTACAAAACTCTCTGAGTAATCTTATTTTAAACTTATCTTGTCTTCTAATATTACTTTCAGAACAGATATAATACCTCTTACCTTAATATGTAAAATGTTTTATCATCTTTATGAGAATGCGGCTACAACCTGCATACAGATGTCAACATATGGTTCAGACTGCCTATAATTTATTAAATTGCTCAATAAAGAAGGAATGTAACAAATATTTGCACGATGTTAACGATATGTTCAGCTTTCATAGCTGTTCCGAGTTATTACCTATAGCACCACGTATAATCAGCTCGAAGTATTTCCTATGATCTGGAACTCAGACTTAAGAAATGTGAAACATTGATGTCTCGTTAAGAGATGCGCAGCAATTACAGACGAGCAATACGGCACTGCATCGAGATAACCGTATTTAAGGGAAATATATCACATTTTACTGCACGAATACTAATGATACCGATAGATGACTCGATCCGATTTAAACGTGTCTAAATGTGATTAGTATTTGCCATAACGAACAGTAAATCATTGGGTCAAATACTAAGTATCAGTGATTTAACTTTAAGAAATTCATGTTTATTCTAAAAACAATTATATTTAATATGGTATTTTCACGTGTTGTGAATTTATTTATATATTCAGAAACATGGGAAACAAATTACTCTCATATTTCATTTAAACGATATTTAATTATAGTAGTTATTTCAATAATATGTGTTTATAAAATCAAATAAAAGCAAAATAAATTAATTGCATGGTGGAATAGCTAGTAATTATATAAAACATTAAGTTGCAATTATTTTTTATCATATGCAATATAACAACAATTTTAAAAAATATATATAGTGTCTAACACTGATTGATTTCACTAATTAATCTAGGAATGTAGAGTATTTTTTTTTGCCCAAGTGCATTCGATAAGCTATCAAGGGTTATTAGTACCTGAAAATTTACTAAGAATATAGCGAAACAATAAAAGAGTTTTATATTTTATATTTAAATACTATAAAAACTATTAGTTTTCAGTTTTAAAAAAGGAAAAAGTTTAAATTAATTAAGTAAAATTATATAAAAATTTACAATTTATATATAGATCTTAAATCTTATATATAGATACGGGTACTTGCGCTAAGCACGGTAATAATATGAAGAAGTGTTGATTGATGTGTGTAATGTTCTTTGGCTTCATTTCAGGAAGTTCACGACTTCTTATATGCCTTCCTTTAGTGAGGATGTTATCATCTTTGATTTTTTATTATTTTGTATGTGGACACAGAAGAAGCTGATGGATACACTAACCTTAATTAGAGTAGTCGTGATTTTGTAGTCAAAACAGTAGTCTAAATAATTTTGATTCATTTAAAGTGAATCAGATGTGCATCTGAATTAATATAGATTAATTAAAAACTAATATGTAAGATGTATTTGAGATTTCACAAAATAATAATAATTACATAAAATCATAACAATTGTAATTACTAAAAACTTATTTGGGACAAAAATTGTTTTGCCAATATTTATATGGAAATGTCTACTGTTATCATATTTAATTAAAAAATTTATGAATTTTGTGTTAAATATCCAATATTATACCAATAGTGGGTGTACATACACCATTGATATATTTCAGTTCCGAAAGCAATTATGTGGAACTGTGCTTTCCAAAAATGAAAGTTTTTAATGCTAAAACCTAAAAAAAAAAATTAGAAAAAATAAAATAAAATTTTCATCTCATGAAAAAGTAAAAAGTTTTCATTGGATTTTAATTAAAATAAAATGATATTTTGTATTTAAGCGTTAAGTTGATTTTTGTGGCAACACCGGTCCGTGCATTCTAAACAATTTTATTAGTACAAAATGCAAAATATTCTAACATATATAACAGCAACAACAACAACAATAACAACAATATTCGAAAATCTATATTTACGTAAACATGCATTATAAAATGGAAAATAGCAACAACAGCAACAATCTTAAAAAATCTCTATTCGAAGGTCCAAACTGTTGTTTTCGCGCTCAGATTTCAAGTACTGATGCGGCATTTTGAGAGCAATTAAAACAGTTTTAACAAAAACAATTTAATAAAATCATAAAATATTGTTTAGTGATATTATTCAGAGTAAATGAAATATAATTTACGTACTTGTTGCTTTTTATTATTTACTTAAGTCGAAGTTTTCTGGAAGTGCTTAAGTTTTTTAGTGAATATTTTTAGTTCAATCGGGAGCGCTTGGGTAGACAAACCACATCGTCGGAGTTAAAATTTCGTTAGCGATATATATAAAAAAAAATAAAATACATAATAAAAATTATTTATTCCTCAAATTAGTGTAAAATCATAATTAATTTGACAATGTTGTTCCTTTTATTATTGTTCACATTTTGCTTTTTGTATTGTTATTGGATCTACAGCCGTTATCAAAATGTATGGAAATATATGTCTAAAATTCCAGGACCCGATGCATTGCCGCTCTTCGGTAATGTCGTAGAGTTAAGATTTGATCCGGCAGGTTAGTACTCTTATTATTGCATGCTAATAACAACATATTTTTTTATTAATATATAATGAATATATATAAACTAAAATAAACAGTCATATAAGTAATAATTAAAAATATATATATGATTATATATATACATATATATGATATAAATATAATTGATGATTAACTCTGATATATGAATAATATTCGAACTTGGAAAGTAGTTTCTGTAAGTGATCTAATTAATTATTAATATTAATTAATTTTTAATTAGTTAATTAGTAACAATAATTAAAAAATGGAATACGAATATAATATAATATAGTTTAATATAGTTTAAAACTACTAGTTTGTGATACAAGCTTATACCAATCAATTCGAGAATTGTATTTATTTATCCTATCTATCTAATTTATATTTTTATTATAAAGTAAGTAAACTTATACAAATCTCGTTTAAAAAGACTGTGAAAAAAAATCAAATAAAAACTTTAATCAAGATAGGATTCGAACCTGCGGCTTCAATTTTTACGCGTTTAATCTGACTTTACGAATGCCTTTATTTGAAATATGGTATATCAAACTGAACTATCATCGTTCAAGGCATTATATGTTTAATTTAGGATGTGTCATGGATTATTTAATAAATACTGAATTGTTGAAATTCTAAGATTCTAAGCTAACAACTAAATATATTAAAATGAAGCCACTTTATCGATGAGTTTCTACAGTGATAAGTTTCCTTTTGTGCTTGGTTATCGCATGTGGCATTAGAGGTAATACATTGTGACCGAAAAGTTTTCGGAAATTCTCATTTAAAATTCGCGCGCTGTATATTTTTCGATATTTTAAGTTTATGTAGTTTGGCAGCACTGTCCTTAATTACTATGCCAAAAATGAGCGCGATCTGTCAGACAGTTCGTTTACGGCAGCTGTTGAAACCAGTTCACCTCAGTAGTGCGTTGCGAAAAAAACAATGGAAAAAAATATTGAACAAAGAGTTTGCATCAAATTTTGTTTTTCGAACGAAATTTCGTGTGCAGAATCGTTGCGAATGCTACAAAAGGCTTATGGGGAATCAGTTTTATCGAAAACTCAAGTTTATGAGTGGTACAAAGCCTTTCAGGACTGTCGTACGACCGTCGAAGACATGCCGCGTTCTGGACGACCTTCGACCTCTACCACCGACGAAAACATTGAAAAGGCAAAGGAAATCGTGTTCAAAAATCCTCATGTGAGTGTTAGAGAGATAGCACGAGAGCTAGGCATCGGTCGTGAGATGGCTCGTTTGATTTTGGTGGACAATTTGTGTATGCGACGTGTCAACGCCCGGCTTGTTCCGATTCACCTCAATTTGTTCAACATTATCAACGATTTTAAGGCCAAACATTCAATAAATACCATCGAACAGCCACCGTATTCACCTGATCTTGCACCGTGTGACTTTTTCCTGTTTCCCAACCTCAAATTACCACTCAGAGGAACGCGTTTTGAATCCATAGAAGACGTAAAACAGAATTCGCAGAGGGAACTCAAAGCCATACCGGAAAGCGCCTATAAAAAATGTTTTGATGATTGGAAGAAACGTTGGCATTTGTGTATCGCTTCTAATGGAGCATATTTTGAAGGAGATAAAATAAATATTGATGAAGATTAAGAATTTTGCGTTTTATTTAAAACGCAAAGGAAACTTTTCGGTCACAATGTATAAATTGTAAAATTATTTAAAGACATTGTAGTATGTTAGATTGTTGCATAGTTTGGAGGTCTGATGACTTTTTTGTAAATAACGAAGTTGTGACATAAACTGTCAATTCTGTTTACTACAAACACACGATAACCAATTATTTTGCCGTGAGGTTGAAGTAAAAGATTTCAGGCTTCACTAAGATAGTGCTAACATATAAGTCACAAAAAGATTTTTCTGGACGTATAATTTTACGCTTTGAATTATGAATTATTCATCAGATTTTATCATAGCTGGATCTGTTTTTTACGTTTAAGCAAAGACTTAAGTACCAGCTTTTTGACACAAAAGCCATTGAAAACTATTTCAAGGAAGACATGTAATAAAATAAAAATTGGGTCGAAATCACAGTCACAAGTTTGTTTATTTTCAAAATCTCTTCAGCAAGACCACAAACACTACTATTCGCCAGCTAGAAATTGTACAAAGCCAGGCTCTGAGAATGACATCCTCAGGGACCTCAAGATTGATCCGATCAGAAAATACATAAAAGATGGAGCCCTGAAATTGTTCACGAAAACTGACAGGCTTACCAACACTGCGTTATTGAATCTCAGAATGGTTACAGGCTCCTCGGGGAGGTATGTAGATCTAAGGTCAATTATTGTTAGTGTGATAAAGTGATAAACAATAATCCAGTCAAGGCGTAGAGATGGGTTATGAAGATACCTCGCAGTTAATAGAGAGTAAAAGTGCTTAAGTGCACTGACTCAACTATCCTCAACATAATAATTTATGACAAATGAAACATACTACTTTAATATAAGTATGTAGGGTACAAAAAATATATAAAAAATTGTTATTAGAAGTACCATTTTAATTAGAAATAGTAAAATGTTAATTATGAAATCAAAATACGGTTCTAAATTTGTTTCAATTTATTAATTACTATAGTTTGAGTTTACTTTGTAAATATTAATTAAATTTTTAAAAACTATTATTTTCAAATATTTTGCATAAAATTTTAAAATTTATTTCTTTCTCAGGAAATTTACAAGTTTGATATAAAAATATGTGTTATTCTAATTCGTTGGCCTGAAGTGAAGATTTTATTTCAGATAAAATATACAGTTTTGATTTTTATTTCTTTTATGGCATTTTAATTTTATTTATGATTTTATTTCCTAAATTGACAAAGTGTTGTAGATACAATTTATAAAAATTTATAAAATTGGTTTCTATACATTTTAATAATAAAACTAGTTTAGTTTGTATTATTAAAAATATTTTGTGTATAAAAATTTTATTTTAAATTAAATAAAATGTCAAACGTTTACTGCTGGTGGCATAAAAGATGCATTTAAATGTATCTATCAGGTATATAAAACGATGTGTGAGTCGTTGCCATGGAAAGCAAGATTCTCTTACTTTTCTATAAACGAGTCGAATTTTCTATTAAAATAATTTGGTACACATTTTAATGATTAATCTATATCACAGTTACATGATATAATGAAGTAATATTTTTTTATAAGGGAGCAATGAACGTTCTGCTTGCTCTGACTTCTGATGCGATATGCTAGTTATATACAATAGATCTTTAAATATTTATGTGCTTACATAATACCCAATTTCTTTGCTGTGGTGTATTTATTTAAATTTGACTTATATGAAATATAAAGAGTCTGGCTAATCAAGATTGGCAATATATGGAGTTTATGTGATACTTGAGGAGGGTTTCTCTTAATACGATTATTTGATTGTGATAAAACAATCATTTTCTTTTTATGCTTGAATTATTTGCTACTATTAATTATTTGCTAGAATATATTAAAACAATAATAAAACATACTGGCATCCAAGGCAATGAAATGGCAGACAAACGTGCAAGAAGAGGCGCGGCCTCAAGAATGATAGGCTCTATTCTGTGGTCTAGACAAAGGAACTCTATCTATTCTTATGAATGGTGCAGAGGAAAAAGAAAGAGAACTCTATTGGGAAAGGTTACCAGGACTCACAATCCAAAATGCTGTTAGGGACTCACAACCTAACACGCTTCAAAGATTGCATAGCACAATCAAAAAACAACCCAAGAACTATTATGGGATTATTGACCGGTCACTGCTCAGACTGCAGTTACTGTAGAGAAGAGAGAGGAACTGCATACCACGTGCTTGGAGAATGCCCGGAACAGATGCACAGGCGGAAGAAACTTTTAGGAGGGTCATAAAGATTAAAGGTAGGCTCTATACTGTCTTTTATTAAAGAAATCGGACTTGGAGAAACACTCTAACCCGAGTAAGGGGCACAATAGATGTTTTAGGTCACAGTGCACAATCCCTTCTTTAATAATAATAGTAATAATATTAAAACGATTAATCTTTATTGCATATTTCATATTTATTGCTATATTTCATAAAATAATTGAAATAATGTCTTACTTATTTGTAAGTACACATCCATTCAATTATTACATGAATTTTAGATAAAAATAATTAACTTAATTTCAGTTAAAACACTCTTATGTATCTGTTGTTATTATATTATTAAGTATTCAGTCATTTCAAAATCTTGACACTTTTCTAGTTGATCAAGTAATTACAGTTGTTGTTGTGTATGAAGTTCAAGATCATTGTCACTGCCAATAAAATATTTTGAATTCTAGAATCTCCAAATCATGGCAAGTCAGCTGAGCATACGCGTTTAATTTGTTGTTGGCAATTACAGAATTATGTTATATCTATGGTGCATACATTCTATAAAACCGGTGATATGTGATGCTAAATAAAAGGTAAAAGCAATCAGTTACTTTATTAGCAACTAAACTGCTAAGTGCTCTCCTAAGCTTCAGTGGAAGCCTTACAATTTTTTTATATATATATATTATGTTGTATAATGGGTGGTGTATATGTGTTTATTATATCATATGTAATGTATTGAAATTACTATAAATTAAAATTTATAGTTGAACAAGTTTAAACGCACCTTAGTCACAGTAAAGAACTCGTAACAGATCTCGTTTCTGTCTGTAGTATCAACTTTGTTTTGTAGCTGACGTCGCGCTGTTAAGATGCTAAATTATATTTTATTAATTTTTTTTTATTTTTACAGTTTGCTGTTCTTTTTTTTGACAGGTTTTTCTGTTAGCAAATTGACAAGTTAGTAGCAATTATTAAATAAAACGCCATGCGATTGACTAATTTGGAGAATAAAGTAAATATTAGCGAATATATCTTCACACTTTTACTTTCAATAAATTTCATTTTTTTCTGTTATTATAATTAAATATATTAAATTAAATTTTATTAATTTAATCAGTGATTATAATAACATATTAAAATAGAGTATTCAATCAGTATTTAATAGTATTGTTCGCAACAACAAACTTGACATAAATTATAGTTCGCTTTAAGTAATTGTTTGCTCTTATCTTCTGTAGGTTTACAATTAAAAAAAATTAGCTTTGAAAAATTAAAAAAAAATATATTCACATAAATAATAACAATAGAAGCTTTCCAGTTTTATTTTTTTTTTTTTTTCAAATATAATCACTACTTACATTCTCCATAGTCTATTATTTCATTCTTGTAAATTTTAATGCAAGTTTTTATATTTGTTGAAAAGAAATCTATGTTCGTATAGAACAGATGTTATAGTAAGGTAATTTCTAAATCCAAAAATTTTGATTTTGAATTAAATAAACTCTTGTACTGACTATGGAGTTATTTTGGATGTTGTCAAATGTGCACTAATACTGGTCTTTAGAAATATCTACTGGTTTCATGGGACATGAAACAGCTTGAAAATAAGCATAAAAATAAGCTATGGCTATCCCTTAATCATATTTAAAGGGCTATTACATTTTTATTATAAAATGTTATTAAAAATTACTTTAGGCTTCCTATTAAATAAGGCCCCATCTGCTCTTTTGGGTATGCTAATTCTGTGCATTAGCGTGATACCTATTATCACATTCAAATAATCAAGTAATAGATTGTAAGTAGAGTCAAGTCATGCCTTTACACAACTTGTATTTATACACAGAGTTTACTATGTAATAGTATAATTTTAAACAATTTTGTTAAAAATAAGTATGTATAATAGTTTGCTTTTATATATCATATCATATTCGTTTTTCTATATTGAGTTCAATTAAATTGGGTTTTAACTGACTTATGTTACCTACTTGAATGGTTTTGTTTATTAATTTTGTGTTATGTAGTTATTTAAAGTCGCTTTCTTTTAATTTTTATTTTAAATTGATGATACAAAAAGAAAATCTGGAATTTGTTATTTAAAAGTCAATGATTTTTGAAAAAATTTTCTTTCTAAGTTAGTAACAACACAGTACTTTATTATTTACTTTGTTTTATAAATTAGTACTTGTTGTCAGCCAGGTTATTTCTAGCAACATATTTAATAAGTCCATTTCACTACTACATCACTATTGAATTAAATAGTTCCCATTGCAAAATTGAAAGAGAATAGATTGATTATCAAATTCGAATTCAAAAGAATTCGAAATTATTTATATATGTCAGAACATAAACTTTTGAAAACACCTTTTATATTAAATAAATAATTACTATTTTATTTCTTTTAATGCACTTGAAATGAAATTAGTTTTAGCAAGATTTGCGAATAGTTATATTTTAGTTAAAGTATAACTCGTTTTTAAATCATGACTTTGAAAATTTTAATCTATTTTGACCCAAAAAACTAGACATTACCAATGTCAACCATAAAATTGTCTAGTTTGTTTGAACTATTCCAACTTATTTGGCTTCTTTGTCCAAAGAAATAAAAAAATCATCTTGTTTTTAGTGAGATTAAACACAGATTAATTAAAGATATTAAAAGATATATTTCAATTGGATAAGAAGTTGAAAATATTGTTAATTGCCAATAATACCGGTTGTATTCAAAGGCAGTAAATAATTAATTACGTCTTCTGTCGGGAGGTACGTACTCTTGAAATGTTGTTGTTTTACGAACGTCTTAATTACTTGCAATTTCATTGGCAAATACCTTCAATTTAATAAAAAAATATTATTTATTGTAAGTAGTTTTAAATTTAGCTTAAGTGAGATATGTTACAAATTACTATAATAAAAATATTAACATGGAAATTTGTAAAAAATTCTGAAAAAGTGTTGCGAATATACGTAACTTTTGTATGTAAAGCAAACCAAATAGCTTTAATAGAATAACTGATCCTTATCTCAGTATTTCAATAATAGTCATTGATCTAACTTGACTTGTATTATTTATACTTTAAATGTTATAATACGTTCATATCAGATTAAGTTATTGCGGTCCTTATCCGAGGCGTCCACTTTGGCCTAGTGGCTTATTCTGTGGTAGTATATGTTTCGAAGAATTGAAAAGCATTCCGAACCTTCAGTAAAGTCTATGATGCTCTTTAAAGGAAAATGCAGCTGCCTAAGGTTCTTTAGAAACTTTAAAGTTTAAAGTATGTTAAATATATGTTGCACCTGCAATAAAAATCATACTGCTTCGTCTCGTCACTGGAGAGAAAAACGGAGAAACATTGTTCCTTGGTTCTATTAATTTATTTAAAAACTTAAAAATGCCCCTGTTTGGTTAATTTTAAGCGTGATATACAAAAAAATCTAATTAATCCAAATCCAGTCTGAAACTTGTCTCTGACCGTCACTACAATAACTTCGTAAGTTACTCGATTAGTAATTCCTACGTACATATGTAAATATATTTTTTAAATGGTAAAATGGTGAAATGAGTGGTCGCGCTTCCTCCGTAATACTTTTGAATCTATTCATTTCATATAATTTTAACAGACTTTTAACTATTTAATCCCTTTTAAACGATATTTTAGAGTAAGAATAATTTTCTCATATATGCTTTAAATATTTTATTTCTATTTTTTTGAATAACAGCTTATGCACATAAAAATTTAAATAGATTTATTTTCTACCAAAACTGTGATGACCGCGACTTACTTCATCATTTGCTGGGTGTGTGCGAATATATTCTAAAGATTTTAAAATAGCCGCTGGAATTGGTGGTGGGACTGGAATCCATGCACCAGTAGGTTGGTAACCATTTTCATCAGCCACATATGAAATCTGTACATGTTCACCATTTGGATCTACCCAACTAAATTCGCCATGTACGTTGCCGTGCTCGTCACCAACAGCCTTTGCTGCAATGCTATTACTGGTTTCCAAAGCATAATCAAAACCATCCGGACGAACATCTGAGGAAAGAGTTCTGATTTCAGCATGAGCATCATCACCAGAACTAGCATGGGATACTGGTCGATGGGAACCGGAACCGCCAACTAATGATAATAATGCTTTTGGGCTGAGAGCACAAGCAAAGCCAACAAGAGCGAATAGGAGTATCTGTTGAGAGTTAGATTTAATTACATTAGTCGTCCTCAAATTAAAATATTTATTCTCTATGCAGACTTACGTATTTAAACATTGTAGTTCTGTTTAGTGTTTAACTTTAAAGACTCGACAGTGTTACTGATACTTTAGTTCCTCTATGTTTTACTATTTATACTAAAATTATTATAACCGTCACTCGTCTCGTGAAGACGAGAAGTCAAGCACAAAATTTTTTTATTGTCATTAACCAATTATGAAACTAAATTATGGTTTTAATAACTTAAACATACAAACTGGAAGTGCACCCACATCCAAACTAAAATACATATTAGTTTTAGTTTTTAAACTAAATTCACTTTTCATTAAATTTTTTCGTTGTGAATTTTGATGTATTTTTTTATTGTTTTGCTTGAGATAATAAAGTTAAAATGCAAAACTTGTTTCGAATTTGGCAAAATTTAATTTAATAAATTTGTTAGAAATTTTTTGTGTGCAGAAGATACGAAATCTGAAATACGAGTTTTTACTTAAATAAGAATAATAAGAATAACAACAATAAAAATTTAATAACGGTTCTACATAGAATATCTCTATATTGACTTAGGCTTTTATCACTTCTCAGCTACTGAACGAGTTTCGGCGTTTAGTGAAGAAGTTTCTATGCACTTCTTCTGTAATTTAGTATAAAAACGATTCCAAATGTGGCGAATGACATCAGTTACATTTGAGTGTTCTAGTCTAAAACAAAAATGTTTAAATACGTAAGTAACTCAAATTCATGGCTTTAAGAGTTTCATATAAAAAGACAGTATCTAATGAGACGAATCTGTGGAAGACTTAACAGTATCATTAAACTCTTTTAATGGTTATAAATTCTTGTTTGCTTAGGTCCTTTTATTCGCCTTGATTGCCTTCGCAGCTGCTGATGATGATGTCCATGCTGAAGTGAAAACTCTTACATCGGAGGTCCGTCACGACGGTTTTGATTATGCGTTAGAGACCAGCAACAGCATTTCACAAAAAGCATCCGGTGATGAACATGGAAACATTCATGGTGAATTCAGCTGGGTTGATCCCCATGGTGAACACGTCCAAGTTGCCTATGTAGCTGATGAACACGGTTACCAACCAAGTGGACAATGGATTCCAACTCCACCACCAATTCCAGCTGCTATTGTTAAGGCCATTGAATGGATCAACGCTCATCCATCTAAGGACGATCATCACTAATCTATTCAAATTACTGATCTGTCATACTTGTTTTGATTTTCACTTAAAGCAAATGTGATATTTTTTAAGAAATCTCTGTTTTAATTTTTTTGTATATAAATCTAATCTCGATTTTTTTAATGAACATAAAATAAATATTTTGCAAGTTGTTTAATGAAGCATAATCACTTGGTTCTTCTTTTTAATGAAATGAAAGTAATACATAATGGCTGTTTTGCATTGAATCCTAAGTGCTACGCAGTTTATAACAGTTTGTTTGTCCCTATAGAGGTTACGGACAGTATCAGCTTTACATCTGATATTCTAATAGTACACTTCGAAATAAGGTGGATTTAAAAGATGTATAATGATGCATAATTATAGATAAATTATTTAAAAAGTGTAAAACAAAAAAAATTAGTACGTAGAGAATTTGTAGGAAACATCTGTTATAATGTGCAAAACTAAAGAATTTATGTCAAATAAGTATTTGTAATAATATATTTTATAAGAACTATAACTATAATTGTTCGAATGGTGAATTTGTTGATATTGCTAATTTTAAAAGAATGGATTTTAGAATCCATTTTTGTTGCAAATCGTTTTGTAATATATATATATGCCTTGTCTGATGGTGTTATTTGCCTCTACCGGAATGACAGGATTTGATGCTTTAACCAATTGACCACACTTACAATGAAAACGAGTCTAATTTAATTATGGAATATGATCATTATTTTGTTGGAGAACTAATTATTATTATTTACTGATTGAACTAATTATTATCAATAAAAAAGATAAAGAAGATATTTAAATAAACCTTAATATAAAATTGTTTAAAATTAAAATGTTATGGTATGTTGGCTTTAATATTTTAAATTTTTTAACTTGTATTGAAAGCAGTGCATAATCACATATGTGATGATCGTTGCTAACCTTTGTAATCCTTGTTAAACCATTTGGTTTTACAGATGAAGTTGAGGAGATCCGATAAGTTTGTTTTCGTTATCCCTTCCAAGCCAGTAAAAAAGCGATCCCCGAGACATTGAAGTCGCCTTGTCTGAAGTCCTGGACAGAGACAAAGAAATTGGTTGATAGATTCTACTTCCTCTTCATCTTGACAACTCCTGCATAATCCGCTTGTTGGAATTCGCTACCGTTGGAGCATAGGTGCAATGGCACAGTGCTCCGTTAGTACTCCAGTAAGCACACGAACTGCAGGTTTGCTGAAACCTAAAAGGCTTTTCGTTTTATTTTTGTCCAACCTAGGCCATAAGGTTCTAGTGTCCTCACAGTCTTCACGATTAGTCCATAAATTGTTTGTCACCGTGTTACTGATTTCGTCTATCATCCTAAACAGTTCACATATTGGTGTATGTATTGTGAGGTCGGCCTCTCCTGTATGCAGTTCAGAACCTTTTCTGGCCATCTCATCTGCTAGTTCATTCCCTTCAATCTTGCTATGTTCAGGAACCCAGCAAAGAGAGATCTTGTGATGTTTTGTGTTCATCAGTGAGGTACGACATTTTAATAGAATCTTGGATTTAAATGTTTTGGATTCAATCTAGAGTAAAAATCAGTCTTATTCGAGAGATGTACAATATATTCACCATACTTACATTCGTAGTTTAAGTAGCTTATTCACTTTTATGTAATTAAAAAATGTGTGTAGGGTACATAAATTATAAGAAACAAAATGCATTGTTTCGAAATATCTGGTAACACTTAATTTTGAATTTATTATAACATATTAAAACAACATTTAAATAAACAAATAATTTAGCGCTGCTGCGGCAAAGATAGAAATCAGGTCTTTAAGTAACTGTCTTCAGAATTTTTTTATATTTGACAAAGTCGTAAATAAAATTAGATTAAAAGATTCCAAGTAATGTACATGTGTACATTTGATATATTCTGCAGATGTTTACGTAAATACTCATATATATGTTTTTCAATGATAGTATCAAGTATAACTAACGTAAAAATTAGACTATTTTAAAATAGGTATTACTAAAAAGTAAGGATAGATCAAGAGATTCTTTCCTATTACGGACTTGTTTTGTTAGGCCAAATCTCAAATTTCATTATACTTTTAAAATTTTTTTTGGGATAATTTATAGAATGCATGAGTACAAGATGATGTGTTCTTATATTTTAGAGGTTCATACAAACATAATTATTGTTTTGATGAAATATTTTTAAAGTTAAACAACAGAAAACCGGTAGGAATAATAATAAAACTGCAGGAGCATGCGCATAACTTAATTATTTTAAATACTTTAATTAGTATTAAAATCAAGTTTAATTATAATGATTGCATATTTAGACGAAAACGTTATAAAATACAAATTTCACTTTAGTATAAAAGCTACCGCTGACGTTTTGAATAGCATAGTTTGATTAGTTATCACAGCGCTTTAACACACCAAACAACCAAAAATGTTTAAATATGTGAGTAACGAAAGGATATTCTTTTCTGGAATACAATTTAGCTTCAAAATTTATTTAATAGATCCTACTTGTGGCACTTATTGCCTTCGCTGCCGCCGATAGTGACGATGTTCACGCAGAGGTTAAAGCCCTCACCTCAGAGGTACGTCACGACGGTTTCGATTACGCTTTAGAGACCAGTAACAGTATCTCTGCTAAATCTGCTGGTGATGAGCATGGTAATGTTCATGGTGAATTCGGCTGGGTTGATCCTCATGGTGAGCACGTTCATGTTTCATATGTGGCCGATGAGCACGGTTACCAACCAAGCAGCGAGTGGATCCCAACCCCACCACCAATTCCTGCTGCTATTGTTAAAGCTATTGAATGGATCAACGCTCACCCATCCAAGGAAGATCATCATTAAATTTAACTTTACACTGAGCAATAAAGAATTAGCATTTTTAAAAAAGAACATTATAACGACTTTTTAATTTTTAATTATAACGACAAATTAAATTTGTTCAGTTCAAGATGTAAATTTTGCCGTAGTTTGTAAAGTATACAAACAGTGATTTCAATTAAAATTTGCATTGAATATATTTGGACGATAGAATAACGAGAGAATATGTAGATAAATTAACACTCAAGGCGAACATATTATGATCAAATGAAAGTGATCTTCGGATTATATCAATTTTGTTCTTCATATATATTTCTGGCAGTTCTACTTGGCAATGGAAGCTTTAAAATTTGACCTAATAAATTATAATAGACTTTCCTTCATCTTTCTAAATCTACTCAACATGCTATGATACTATGACTTATGACTAATCTCGTATTGCATATAAGACGTCTGGATTTCGTGTTTAATAGAATTACTTCAGTTGTTATGCCTGTAGTTCTATTTTTCATTAGTACATTTGTTGTGTTTTCTGAAAAATTATTGAATAGTATGTTTAATAATCATCAATATTTTATCAATAGAAACTTTTAAAGTTATACGCAAATGGATAAACGACTATCATTTTGAAACTTTTCGCATATATGCGGGTTTGCAGCACTGTGTCTTGTTGCCAAACCCTAAGGCTATTGAGGTTAGTATAATGTTTATTTTATGGTATCGCATTGAATGACTTCTTTACAGTTAGTATTATCGAGCACTACACTCACTTACAAAGAAGACTTCTATAATTTCTTTTATCCTTGGTTGGGCAGAGGACTACTAACAGCTAATGGACAATACTGGGCAAAACATCGTAAGATGATTACTCCATCATTTCATTTTCAAATACTGCAGGACTTTCTGCACATAATCAATTTAACTACCGACCGATTCATGGATTTGTTGGAAAAATACACTGAGAAAGGGGACATGTTTGATTTCCAACAAATAGTCACGCGTAGCACTATAGATGTAATATGCGGTAAGATATTAAAATAAATGATACTACAAATGATGGGATTCATGAATATTACATTATACAATATTTGTTGTTCTTTACACAGAATCTGCAATGGGTACGCGTGTTAATGCAATCGAAGGGGCTGTATCACCAATTGTTGCTGCAATGAATGAGTGAGTTTTCAATTGAATTTATATTAGCAATGGATTTAAATAATAAATATGTTAAATTTTTGAAATTATGTGATTAGCATATGCTATGTTATACATGAACGTATTATAAGTCTTTTGAAACGATTCACACCATTTTTTGTTTTGACGCCTTTGTATTTCAAGCAAAAAAAAGCTCTGCGAATATTAAAAAGTGAAATATCGGAGGTAGATATATGCAATTATGAGTATCCTGCATAAAATCTTTTGAGAATGATTTCTTTGTAGATTATTAAGAAGAGACACGCATTTCTAAAAGAGCATAACTTCTTTGAAAACATTAACAGCGATGACCTACAGCGTCCCAAGATGGCTTTCTTGGATAATTTGTTAACAGCAAAAATCGATGGAAAATCATTGACTTTTCAGGAAATCTATGAGGAAGTATCAACATTTATGTTTGAGGTTAATAAACCATCAATACTTATATCAAAATTACTAACTAAATATATACAGAATATATTTTGTGATGTTTAATTTCTTAATCAATGTTATAATCCCGCTGAGTTTATCTATCTCTCGATAAGTTGTGAGTCTTTTATTCTGGATGTTACTGAATGAAAATATTTTGGGTTATTTTACATTGTCCAATTTATTTTTAATACAGCATTATCCTTTAATATACAACATATTAAAAATGAATATGAGAACCGTAACCGAGAGATACTTGTTACTTGTTATCAATAGATATATAAACTTAGCGGAGTAATAAGATTGATTAAAAGACTTAACAAAAACTAGAAAAATAAGTATTTTAGAGTGTTTGGAAAGAAAAAAAATAAATATGCGATTTATGTATAGAATCATTGCACCAAATGCAATTTTGTATAATTGCTTAAATAATTATTTTTCGATTTCTATATGTGATATAGTTCTTTCGAAAACTATTGAATGCCTAAATATAAGCAAAACTGCTTTTATAAACTTTTACAAACTACAAAGACACAATTCCCTATTTGAGAGAAATTGCATTTATGTGGTCTAATGTAGTGCACAGCAATTTTTCATGTAAGACCGTCCATTTCAGGGTCATGACACAACTGCATCAGCAATAACTTTTGCAATTTTCTGCTTGGCACGTCACACACAAGTACAGCAAAAGGCGTTTGCTGAGCAATATGAAATGTTTGGTAATGACTTAACAAGTAGTCCAACATATCAGCAACTGCAAGAAATGAAATATTTGGAACTCGTAATCAAGGAAACATTGCGATTGTACCCAAGTGTCCCAATAATCGCACGCACCATTATTGAATCAACAGAAATCGGTACTTAACTCTCATTTTGTTTTGTTTTACATTCCAAAGATGACAAACTTTAACTCATTAAAATTTCAGATGGTTATATAGTTCCAGATAATACCACAATAGTAATACCCATTTTTGCACTTGGTGTAGATGAAGACAACTACGAACAGCCCTACACTTTTCAACCTGAACGCTTTGATGCAGACAAACGCATGCATGCACATCCTTATGATTTTGTGCCATTCAGTGCCGGACCACGTAATTGCATAGGTAAGTGAAATTACAGATAAATATCTATGTACATATAATATTTAATAGAACGATTACACATACAAATTTGCTGTAGGTCAAAAGTTTGCTATGATGGAGTTAAAAGTTACTATTTCTAAGATTCTGCGACATTTTGAAATATTACCGGCTGTGGATGACTTATCTTCAGGCTCACATGATTTTTCTAATTCCCATAACCCATATGATCCTCAGCTAGCAGCACTTGTGACACTGAAGTCCACAAATGGAGTTTACATCAGACTCAAAAAACGGGATTATTAAATTTTTTACATATTTATAAAAGCATTGGAATCTAATATACTATTAGCTCCTTGGTAACAGGTTAGAGTTCTCTCTAAACTAAACTAGCTATTTTTACTTATAACTATTTTTTACCATTTACAAATTAAGATACATGTATTTAATTTAATTAGAGCAAATAAATATATTTATAAAATGTATTTTTTATTTTTTTTTAATTATATTGATCGTTTCCTCAGTCGCACTTGTATACCATTTTCGGACTTAAGGGTTACTCTGATGTTTAGTATAGGATCGAATTCACTCTGTGGTACACAATCTTCTCTAGAGTGATCATTTATACCAGGCGGTAAGTTATCTTTGGCAGGTAAAATTTCGAAGTTACGCACAACCTTTGAAAGAATCGATTTCAGCTCTAGCATGGCATATTTCTCAGCTGAAATGTTAATAAAATTAATTATCCAAACGTTTAAAGATATATACCTTATAAATATAATATGTATAATACAATGCCCTAAAATTATTCACAAAAGTTGATATGTTGCCCAACCCCGCTCTAAGAAACCTTAAGTCCACCTCAGGACGCACAGGAAGAAATGCTGATCTACGGTCCGTCATCAGTTAGAAAATAAATATATGATAATGATTCTAGTATAGTTAAAGTTTAGTGTGGGGCAGGGATAAGCTCCCCAGCCACAATAGAGTAAAAGTGCGCAATAGCACTAACTCAAATCACAACAACAACAACAATGTCATGTAATAATGTCAAAAATTTTAGAGAGAATTTTTTAGTCCATTGGACAACTTTTAGCAACCGATTGTTCAGTGTGAGTACTTCAAAAAATAAATGGAATACAATTTTTTGTCCTCAAATCATGAACAATATGATATATAACCCACAATGTTTAAGTGTTTTCTAAAAATTATTCGTTTCACTAACTAAGTACCGTTTAATAAGACAGCTGAAGTCTTATGATGGTAATTCGGTATTGTCTTGATTTGCTCTTGTATCGCGACTTTTAGGAAATACTTTTCACTGTGAAGAAGTTCACCAAAATGATTTTATTAATAAATTTTTGTTTAGGCCGGACCACATTGTTATTATAAATAAATCCTCTTCATTAAATATTTTTTTTTTTAAGTACTTACCAATACATCGCCGTGGTCCTGCACTAAAAGGCACAGATTTGAATGCTTCTATTCCAATACCTTCATCAGTTGAAATTCTTTCAAAACGTTCTGGTCGAAATTCGCAAGGATTATCAAAGTATTTCTCATTGTAGCCCATGGCAATGAGGCACATGATAACTGTGGTGCGCTTTGCTATTTTTGTGCCATCTATTAAAAATATTGATTAATTATTACAAAGATAAAAACATCTAAAAAAATATCTGAAAACTGAAATCTAATTTCTTGCCATAAACTTACTTATGTCAATTGATTTACGATTTGTGCGTGCGATTAATGGCACTGAAGGATAGAGACGTAAAGTTTCGCGTATTACCAATTCCAAGTACTGCATCTCATCCAAGTGTACTGTACCAACATCCACGTTGCGTAGTTCTGCTTCTTCGATTTGAGCAAATATACTTTTTTGTTCATTGTAAACTTTTTGTTGTACATGTGGATGTCGCGACAATGTATACAGCGTAAAGGACAGAGCGGATGCGGTAGGGTCATGCCCCTTAAAAATGTTTATTAATGTAATGGAAGAAAATAAATATTTTATTGCGTACTGTAAATATAAAAGTCGAAATTTCTTCGAATATTTCGTGATTTTTCAATGTACGACCGTCCAGTTTTGCCTGTAATAAGACGTCAACAAATGGTTTGTTATCTGTAGATTTGATTTTTCCATTTTGTAATTGGGCTCGGCGATCTTCAACTATCTATTAAGTAAATGAATAAGTAGTGCTAAAGTAACAACTTATATGGTATTGAGAATCAAAATGCTTTTCTACTGACCTTTTTTATTGATTTTTTGAGAGCACGTAAGGCACTTCTCTGAATCCAGTAATAAGGAGTTAATACGAAGAGTGTATCGAACCGCTTCACAATGCTAAAAGTGCGCTCCTGAATAATATCGCAAAGGCTGCAGTCAAAGAAGAATATCAAAGATAAAAAACTGAATGTAATCGGAGTGTAATCGTGAAAGCGCAGTACTTACTCTTTTATGGCGGTATGCAATTCCGTTGTCACTGCGTCCAGCGACTGACTTTTTACGCCAGTGGCATTCTCTGTTAAATAATTTATTTGAAAATTATAAAGTATTTTCAATAACTTAATGTTTGTTTCAGCGTGAATACAGCAATACAAATGTATAACTGTATGGTCAGTAATATTATATCGCATTGCTTACCACACACAATATCCAATGTACAATTTTGTACCAATGGCTGCACATCCAAAATTTCCGATCCATCAGCTTTTTCCATCAGCTTTGCAATAAATTTTGTGCCGGTTTGGTTTACCACACGCAGATATCCTTCGATGGAAGACTTCTCAAAAGCAGGCAAATAAAGTTTCTGATGCTTAAGCCAACGAGCACCGGAACTAGTTAGTAAGCCGTCACCCAACCATGGACGCAGGAATGAATATAAATGTTCCTTATACAAAAGAGCAGAACTGGAAAGCATGTTCTGATTTGCCAAGCAAATAAAAATGCGAGAATATTTAAAAAGTTACTATGCGGAAAATAAGGATGTGTGATATATTTGCTTATACGAAAGTTAAATTTATTGTAAATTAAATATATCCGCTGGCAACACTGACAATTTAAGGCAATGACATAAACACGTACGGTTAAACTACATAACTACATTTAAATTCATGTGTTTTCTTCAAAACGAATTTGTAAGCACATTTGTAAACACATTTGGGTACACGAGAGTTGTTACCTGTATTTCCGCCGGATCACTTAGCATTACGTGATATTGGAAAAATACCAGAGAACGGAAACCTTGAAATTCATATTTCCTGCAGTATTGTAAGATTTTTTTCGGGTATTCTGCAATGAAAAATTGGTATAATACTATATATCTGAAATAAAATTGTGAGTTTTTGAAATAACGATTCTCTGTAAGTTGTACGTATTGAACGTATTAGCGTATTAAGATTAGATAAGACATAGAGTTGTTGTTACTACTCAATCAAACTGCGGATTGCTTTTTGCGTATAGTAGCGTCAAGCTCATTTAAATAGCAGAACTGAATAAAAGTTTATATCAATAGTTCTAAGCGGTTACTATTTGAAAGTAAATAAAACCTTTAATTGAAATAGTATAAATATAGTAATGAGATGCAAAATTTTTACTAAATTTCTATCAAGACTTTAAAAACTCTTTAATGGAACGTCCATGAGAAAGTTAGCCCCCAGCATGTTTAACCAAAGTAAAGCAATCGTTGGACAGCAGCAAAAACAGATGTAAAAAGTAGTCAATCATTTTCTATAATAACCTGTTTAGTCCCACTCGTAAAATCTGAAAATTGTTAGAAGCTTTAATAACCACCGGATGCAGCTCATGTATTTTAAGTTGCATAACTGGTCCATTCTTTTACTCAACACATCCCATAGTTTTTCATTTTTACATGAAAAACATTGCTAAATTTTGCATAAATATTTTATATTTTATTAAATATGATGAACATAGTTGGTGAGTTGAACATAGTGAATTCTGTCCGCAAATCTCACACATAATTTCGCTTTAAATTTTATAACATATCGAAACCTCAGCAGGAGTCCATCACAGTCCGAGCTATATGTACATGGAGCATATGCTGCACTGGGATTACTCATTTTGGCTTTCTGACTTCAACGTTGGTATTGCATTTTCCTTTGTGGGATGTACTGGCAACATTTTTTCATTTTTTGGAAAACTGCCAAGCATTAGCGGGGGGCAACAACCGCGTTTAGTGGGAGGGCGTGCGTATAAATGGTTGTGGTTTCGGGAGAAAAACGCAATTACGGAAAAACTACCAAAAAACATAAATACAGTGTTGCAGTTGATTGTATCCTAAGAAGTGCGAAATTGCAATTTAATATTTTCATTATTTTTCCTTTCGTTGCATATAAAAATAGCTTTATTTTAAAAACTTTTGTGTTGATATTTTTATAAAAACTGAACATTTGATGTAGCTTAATATATCCTTGAAGCAGAATATTAGCAAACATGAGTTTTACTATATTAAATTTCAAATTATATTGTATACATATAGAACACATTTAGATAGACATAAGTATACGTTGCTACTATTACTATTGAATTTATACATTTATTGCATTGTTAAAAATTCATTGTAAAATAATTATGGTGATAAGTTTTTCACTTAGATAACAGCAATTTTTACTACACGCATTATTCATAAAAATTTAAATAAAAACTTTTTCTAACATATTGTTAAGAGAATGTTTGTTATGACCTAAAAATGAATAAAAATATTTTGTTAAAATCACCGGCTTTTAGGAAACTAGACCCCCATGGAAAAATTGTTAATAAACTATTTTAAAGTATTTGTAACTAAAATTACTTTTAGTGAAAATTTGAAAAATAAAGGCAACAGCTTAAGGAAAAAAATATATAAATAGAAAACAATTATTAAAATTATAAAAAATATAAAAACTTGTATTTTACATGAAAGAATTATACGAAAATGTATCTATTTAAAAAAAAATTGTGAAAGCTGGAAAAAATTTATTAACACACAAAAATCAATTTTCAATTAAAGGAATTTGGTTTCTATAGAACAGAAAATATTTTATTTAATATAATATTGAGTTGTCAGTAATTATCTGGGGTCTCATACACACATATTGGGTAATTTGAGCAAATATTTATTTATTACAACCACCTCATGCAATATTTCCGCTAGAATCATAAAAACTTTGTTATAGAGTTCTATGTTTTTATTCTTAAAAAGCTGACCTGACCGCGTTGAATTGTTTTTTTTCACAGCTCAGGAGGTTTTAAAGAACATTAAGCTTCTTTTGGCAATCTACTCTATTGATACATTTTAAATTTCTTAACCGTGTTGTGATTGTTCACATGGTTTTTTTTAGCAATTTATATAATTTCATTTATTTTTGTGATAGTTTAACCTGACAACACAGCTGTGCCTCATACCTCTCTTTATCATAGTAACATTATACAGACTTGTCACCCATTCTCATTTTAAATAACTTCCCATCTTCACTTAAACTTTATTAACTTTAAATACGAAGCAACAATCTTAAATAAATGAGAACTAAATATCGACTAAAAAAATAGAATTGCCAATATAAGTTGCTGTATGAGTTGGAATTTTGGTTCAACCGTTTAAGTTATAAAGTTTCATATTGCATATATTATATGTTATAGAACTCATTCCATATTAAGGTACTATAAAAGTCTTATACAATCACTTTTCTTTAAGCACTCTACAAAAGTAATTATGTTGAAAATATATTTGTCACACTCACCTTCTGGTTTCAAGCCAAACTGAAATATATTTCCTACAAACGGATAAGGCGTTGGGCCGGGTATCATTTCCATAATACCAGCTACATGATCAATATAGTTTAATAACCTCAAGCCTTTAAAAAAGAGTACTGTTAGTATCAAAATTGATAAAGCTAGCCAAAACATGTTGATAACTAAAATAGTTAATATTTTCTCATTAAATATGTCTTTTCCGTTTATTTAAATTGAACTTTCACAACCGCCGAATAAATTGCAACTGAAATTTTATAAAATGGCAGTTAAATATTATATATTGATTCAAATAAAACACCTCACTTATTGTATACATGCAGAGTTCTTTCTGGTGCACAGAAAAATTTCTTATCTGCTGATACTGGATAACACTGGCATAAGATAAAATGGGGTCTGCTATGTTCACTCGCCAATTATTGCTACTTCATTTGCCGGTAATTCTTTTTGTTTATATTGCACCTAATCAATAGCCAAAAAAACTGATAATATTTGCAATTAAATTTACGACAGCTTCAAGTGCTAACCTGACCACAACAACTGACATAATCATTGACTCACTTGCTTCGGTTAAGCGTTTCAGGGAGTGACGCTTTGGCTGTCCGAGGTAGCTGCCTCCAAGGTACAAAGTTCAGAAAATGCCGTAATATAAAAAACGATTTCTGCTTCGAATTATTTTTATTTGTTTATATAAATATTATTATTACTTTTGTATATTTATTTATTTACTGTAATTGGAGGCTAATGAAATAACAACAGTAATTAAACACTACATATCTCGATTAACTAGAAACTCGATTAAAACAAATAAAAAAAAATTTTTAAAACTTAATAATATAATAAAATATTTACTAGTAGCAAACTAAAAATATTTGTAGTTAACATTTTTATATATCTGAACTCAAGTTTCTTTTAGCACAGATTCGGAAGTAAAGCACACCTATAAAAATTTTATTACTTATAACTTAAAATTTCCTACTGTTAAGTAGTGCATGTAATAAATTAATTAAATTAATTATTATAATGAGAAGTTTTTTTAATTGATGCTTAAGTATGAGCATAAACTGTTATAATTGTTTTAAGTAATATTCATCAACGGGTAAAGAATACAACTAATATTAATAGCAGTTTAAAATCACATAAATACAGGGCCTTCATATATTGAAATCGAGTCTATTATATCTTTTAATAATTTAAAAGCAAACCTATTTAAACCAAATTCAAGAACAGTTTATGTTGAAATCATTCTTAAATGAGTTCTGCTATTTTTTTCTCATATTATTATCTTCTGTTACACATGAGTATGAGTAATAATATTGAGACTTTAGTCAACATTATTGACGTCATAAGCTTGGAACTTCAATATGGTGTGGAATCGAAAGTTATTTCATCATTACTATCACTCAGCTCTGAACCTGACAATGAGCCTTGATATACAAAACAATTTGGTGCTATATGGATGTTTCACTAGCAAAAGCTTTTCAGACTCAATACTCATATGCTCTAAATCTGTTCCGAAGTTTTATCTTATCGTAGTAGTTCTTATGTAAATATGTTTAAAAAATTAATTTTAATTCTAGATATTAAAAAAAATTTAAATTCATATAAATTCATACTTAATCTATGTAATTGATTTATTATGAAGTATTACATTAATTTGAACTTACCAGTATTTTGTAATATTTATTATTAAATTTGGTTGATTAAAAATGTGATTAGATTGTGACTTATTCAATCATCTGTTTGGGATTATTATCACAGATGAAGTCAAGAATTTTTGTTACATTAATGGTAATACTTTAGTATATAAATTGAAAATTATTTGATAGCCGAAAAGTTTAGAGTTCATAATAATTGTTTTTGAATTGTGGTTATTACTAAACATGTACTTATATATGTGTATGTTAACACATACTGGATCTTTCCTAATTGACATAAATTCAGAAGGTGATGCCTTGTTTTTACAAACGAAAACATTGTATGAAAATGAGATCATATTTTTCACATTAACCAAAATATAGAATATTACAGAAAAGTTTGTCTGTGATCGACCTGGAGTCATAATACTATCAACATCTTTAAAATGGTTCATACAAATAAGGGCTGTCTAGAGGACATGCGATCGAGGGCCGATACAAATCACTGTACAGATTGGAGTTCCGCAGAAACAAATGCATAAGTCTATAGTTATTTTGAAGAAAAATAAAAATACGGCTATGATGTTAAATATTGTGTTAATTCAAATTCATTTATTTGGTATACCATAAAAATAAAATAATGTAGTGTACCAAAAGAAAATTTGTATAATTGTGGTAGATTAAAAACATATCGCGGGCCGCACAAGCATTATCCGTGGGCTGCATGTGCTTTAGACAGCCCTGATTCAAATAGTTAAAGTCATAGGTATACAATTAAGTGCCGCTTAATTTGATGCCTAAAAAAATTATAATAAAATTTAATAAAATTTCATAAAATTTAAAAATATAAAAACGGAAATATCACATACTTTTAGGGACCATAGCAAACCGCTGAACCGATTTCTTCTTATTCATCTATATATGAACACCCTGTAATAAGAAGAATAAAAACTAAAGAATGAAAAGTTTTTATTGTTATCCATTATGCTAGTCAAGAGCTCTATTAGAGCAAGAATGTTGTTACGGATTTATGTTTTTTTAATGCTGTTCCTTATGAATGTATATTTGCATGTATATTACTTTATATACATACCATTTAAGAACTTTTTTTAAATAAATATGCTATCAAATAAAAGAGTAGATAAATTAGGATTTAGTTACTAACCTGGTGGTTTATACACAAGTAATTGTATGAATAACTTCCGGATTTATAAACGTTTTTCCAACTTTTTGATTTTTGAATACACATTATTAGATCAAATATAGTTTAAACAAAAATGGCATATATCAGAGAGTATTTTGTAGACTATTTATTATAATAGGCTATTCTATTTCAAAGATACCAACAAATCTAATGTTTATTTGTAAATCGCATACAATCTAAAAAAAAACTGGATTAATAAATATCTATACCAAGAGTTTATGTGCCTGATTGAACCAAAAAAAAGAGTGCAGTATTCTTCTTCTGAAAAACAAAACACTTTTATTTGTATTTCCATACCTTTTGAAATTTTTCTTTCAGTGTCATAATTAAAGAATTAAATACCAACCATTAAGTCTTTAATCCTGCTTAAAATTTATTTGATTATAACTCAAAGTGCTGATTACATTATTTGATGTCAAGTTTTTACTAACAAAAGCCCGTTTCTACGGCAGCGAGCATCTGTTGTCAATGACTGATGTTGAGTCCTTTGCCAAGAGTTCTCGTTTTCCTTATCATTTCATTTGTCGTATTCGCAGAGTACATTTAAAAATTAATTCCCTAAGATGATTTCGTACCTTTCACTCAATTAAATTTTGAATCATTTATGGCCCAAAAAGATTTCTGATTCTGCAACCAGAAAATATTAAAAAAAATCACATCAGCCAATGAGAAATGAAAGGGAGACAGATAATTGATTTTGGAAAGCACTTGAATTAATTAATTTTTAAGCAGAAGGAGACGGGCGGAATTATATTTTATTTATGATTTCATGGTTTATATGTGTAAGACTACTATACATAGATGTTCCGTACTGTTTTTTTGGGATGACTTGACAAGTTAGTCAAACATTTCCAAAAATACATTTAAAGAGAAAAATGACGAATTTAAGGCTCAAAATATAAGTAAACCACATTCACTTTCACTTGAATATTGTAAGCAATTGGAAATTACTTGCGGAATATACATAGCCACTTTTTGGCTAGTTACTGAGTCTTGTCAGATTGCATTCTGTGTGCGAATATATCTGTATTTTACATGCTTTTTTTTCTGAAAATTTAAAACCGAAATTTTTCATTTTTTTTTTCATTTTGGCGTTGTGCTTTTCCATTTCATTCTACATGCTTCATTGGCAATTTAGGACAACATTTTCTTCCATGCCTGGCACGAGTATATTGGATTTTGCGAGACTTTTGTTGCCTTCTATTACAAGCGGTTCCCTTAACAAGATTAACCTTTCAAGTGCTTTATTTGTATTTGTTTTCTTTTTTACCGATTTTTTAGTGGTTTTACATATATGTATATATATATATTTTTATATTGTGAAGCTTGGCAAGCACTCTTGGTTTTTGTGAGGTGTTCTGAAAAAACGGAAGAAGAAACCGAACAAAACCGTTGTTTATTTCTTTTTTGTATTAACAGGTGGCTTAAGACAGACGTAAGTTTGCTTAAAATATGACCGTGAATATTGCTATGATACTCGTATATGGATAAAATTCTTCCTGCAATACTAACACATATATACAAATAGTCAGCTTTTAAAACCAAAACTATCAATGAATAATAGTAATACAATATGAACTCGTTTCTTGGAATAAACTTTCATGCACTCCAAATGATACTTGTCAAAGATACTCATAATTCCATTTGTTATGCACGAAAAGCACTGCTACTAAATTTGTCATAAGGAAATCTATTATTTGATAACGAGTCAGTTGAGTAAAATAAAAAACCTTTTTCAGGTTGACTCGTAAAGTGCAACTTAGCAGAAAAGCTGTAATAAGACTTCGTTCGGGTTGTCCCATAATGAAATGCCCAAGTGCACTTTTTTCCAGAGACACAAAACAAAATAAAGTTTCATGTCCATTACTGGTTTTGAATATTTATTTTGTAACAAAGTACACTCAATTCTTAATATCAATTTGAGATACAAAATGAATGATACATCAGTACCAGTAGATTTTATAAAATAACCATTAAAATTATTTTAAAAATTTAAAAGTTTTCTTTATAACTCAAATAAAGCGTTTTGTTCAGTAAAAATCAGGTTTGAGTAAATACGAGTACATCATACTAATGACATTTACAGTCATTTACATCATCTAGGTCTAGAAGTGTTAGTGGAAAGCACTACCTAATGGAGTATTATAACTTTTTTTTTTCATTATCATGATCAACACTATGTCAAACAGAATTTTGGCCAGATCAAGTAAAAATGTCAACAAATGCATTGGCTAATTAGACATCCTTCTCAACTTAATCTATATTGTAAAAGGCTGATTTATCTATCTGTCGAGAAACCTATTTAAATGTATGGTATACAGCTATTAGAGAGATATTATATAGCGAAGTCAAAACAAATGTTTACGGATGATACGGATAAATGCTTA